TCGTTCCACAAACGTTTTTGAACTTTATGTCTTCTTCAGGTTGAAATGGAATAGGCCTACTTGAGAAAAAATAGAACAGGAGATTTTAAATCAAAAAGTTAACTGAATTTCGCTCCAAGGGACATGCGCCGTTGTGTGCAGGTGTCAATTATTATGGATGCTTGTCTAGGAGGAGTTGCCAGGCTGGTGATAGGTTGAGCTCTTCTTTTTGGTTGATGCATGTATTTGTANATTTTATGCTGCGGAACGAATTATATGTTTTAACATGTATTTCTATGGGAAAATGCGTTTCGTATAACGGACTTTTCACTTAACGGACGTGCACCTGAATGGATTAAGTACATTGTACAATGCACCACTGTATACATAATTTGTGTTTGTGTTTGTATTGTAAATATAAATGCATTAAATTACTAGCAGTAATAATGTACCTTTAAAAACTTCAGTAACTCAGATTTATTCAGAAAAAATATTTTCAGCCATAAATATGGCCAAAATAAGTCTTCCAAACAAATATAAACTGCTGGAGTTTCAAGAGTGTATTCTTTACTGCTATTGCTTTTGTATTCAATCAATTTTTCTACATGTTAACTACATTTCTAGTGTAAATTATATTATTAATGAGAAAAATCAAGAATTTTTTTCCATGTTGGTCTGTAATAACTTAATATAAATCATATATGGCATAACAGGAGATTTTAAATCAAAAAGTTAACTGAATTTCGCTCCAAGGGACATGCGCCGTTGTGTGCAGGTGTCAATTATTATGGATGCTTGTCTAGGAGGAGTTGCCAGGCTGGTGATAGGTTGAGCTCTTCTTTTTGGTTGATGCATGTATTTGTATGGGTCATTTTACAAATAGCCATAGCTTCTAATATATAATCAAAATATGAGCCATATTATATTTATTATAAGTGATATACTGTTGTTTTTAAAATTTATTAATATACAGTGTGGGTGGAAAGTAACTAAGCATTGAGAAATTGCTATACTTTTTCTAATAATAATGAAATTATAATAAAATTTATGTGCACATGTACATTAACCAATGTGTTTTGTAATTTCCACACTATTGATGTGAGCAAGTTGTACTTACATTTAGACAGTAATTTTTAATAAAATATCAAATATGGCATAAAGACAGTTCCATATATTCGGTATTTGCTGTTTCCCATTTCTTGTTGGTATATTTGCCAAATCAAAGGGATAACTAGGCATATTTGTCAATTGGGAAATACTGAATTTTGTGAAGCCAGCTTAATATAGTATAAACAATAGAAATATTAACAACATTTCTATTGAGAGAAAACTTCTTTATATTACACAATAATAGGAATTTGGTAAATTACTCTATTTTTTAATATACAGTGGTGCCTCGTATAACGTACGCCTCGAATAACAGACTTTCTGTTTGACCATTACGTGACTCGAGCAACGGACTTGCTGCGAACAACGGACTTTCCGTTCGGCAGTTACGTGAGACGAACAATGGACTTTCTTCGAACAAGTGCGAATGATGTTTCCACTCTTTTGCCGCTGCCAATGACAATCTGCTATTTTTAGGATATATTAGTATTATTAGAATGTATTATTAGTATATCTGAAGTATATCTGAAGAAATGTAATGTAATATATGTTGATGATTTAAATAAACATTAAATGTAATGTAGTATATGTTGACGATTCAAATAAACGAAATGTAATTGTGTAGATGCCGAGGTGGCGGGACGAAAAGAGGTTGTAAAAAACAAACGGAGCGAGAGTAGCTCGTAGAAGTGTTTAGTGATCTTAATTAATAAAGAATTATTCGTATCATATAATCTGGCAAGTTAAGTCATTTATAATGCATCATGGCTTCTAAAAAAACAGAAAGGTGATTTCAATTGAAACAAAGCAAGAAATCATCAGGAGTGAAAGTTGACAAAAACTTTCTTGTCGAATGGGGAGAGGTTCAGGAGTTTACCAACACTCATTATCCAAACAGAGCTGAGGCCAACAGGATCAATGATCTCTACGATGACACCTTTGTCCGTCATTTCCGACAGGTGTTAAAGAAGAAAGAGAAACAGACCACCTTGGTCATGTTTTTCAAGAAGCCAGCGGGCAAAAAACAAAGGATGGAACAAGAGAAGTTGACCCTGCAAGTTCCGGTAGCCTCTCCTGAATCTGACTCCGATTAAAAAACAATAAAAAAAGACCCGCTGCAATGTGTAAAAAGTCTGTATCTGTATGAATGTGTAAAGAAAGTGTTCTTCCACCTCCTCCTCACATCTGACTACCCGGCATAATTGGTGTCTGCTCCATTTTCATTTTTTATGGTACAGTACGGTTATTTTATGCTGCGGAACGAATTATATGTTTTAACATGTATTTCTATGGGAAAATGCGTTTCGTATAACGGACTTTTCACTTAACGGACGTGCACCTGAATGGATTAAGTACATTGTACAATGCACCACTGTATACATAATTTGTGTTTGTGTTTGTATTGTAAATATAAATGCATTAAATTACTAGCAGTAATAATGTACCTTTAAAAACTTCAGTAACTCAGATTTATTCAGAAAAAATATTTTCAGCCATAAATATGGCCAAAATAAGTCTTCCAAACAAATATAAACTGCTGGAGTTTCAAGAGTGTATTCTTTACTGCTATTGCTTTTGTATTCAATCAATTTTTCTACATGTTAACTACATTTCTAGTGTAAATTATATTATTAATGAGAAAAATCAAGAATTTTTTTCCATGTTGGTCTGTAATAACTTAATATAAATCATATATGGCATTTGTAAATTTTACACAGTTGTAACAGTTGAATATTAAAAATATAATTATCTTAAAATTTAACATAGTTATAATTTATTGTTGAAATTTTCAAAAAATCAATATTTTAATTGTATTAAAATAAGAAATTTTGTTATATTGTTATGATACATATTTAAAATGGAAATTTATAGTTGTAAGAAAATCATATAATAGTTAACTTTTTATTTATAAAATAAGTGGTTTGAATTTAATAAATGCTATTTTAAGTTTGTTTTTTTTTTGTTATCTACATATAGCTTTGAAATATATAAATAGATATTGTATTATTATTCATCTTTATTTAGTCATTGAGAATATATTCTATTACTGGAGCTTTTTATACATATGAATAATATATGTAGCAATTCTTAAATAATGTCTAGTTTCTTTTTTTAATAAAACATATAAATTGAAAAATACATGAATTTTAATACACAAATTAATATATTATCATCATAATATAACTAAGATAATTAGATATTTATTTAATTTCATTAATCTATAGTTAATGTGTAAAGGATATTGAAAAAAAAATTATAATGTAGAAGTTAAATATTATTTTTTTCTTTATCTTTGTTATTATTACTGTATACAGTAATACCCCGAACTTACGCAATAGGTGGGACCGAGCGATAACCACATAAGTCAGGGTATAATTTTGCAATTTGTTTAAAATCCAAGTCAAATGTATGTAAGCTAATAAATGTTCTCGTTAATCTTATCTCATCTTTTGATAAGATCGTCTATTGATAAGATTCGTTCACGGTTACAAGAAATCACCACATAGAGTCTCTCAAGTCTACGTAGATATAACAAACACAGAAATCAATAACACGAAATAAATTGTAGCTATGTGTCGATTCCACGCGACATGTCCGAACATGTAAGCTGAACAATAGTGTGGGGGGAAATGAATAATCAAGAGTTGCGTGGTGTTCAAACAAAAGACAAATCGAAGAGATTTGAAAATCGCGTAACTCTGGGTTTGCATAAGTCAAGGTATTACTGTAGTATATTTAATAAAATTAACTTTTTGCTTACTAATTAACTGTTTTTTAAAATCATTATTTGATTTTCTATAAATACTCCAATACTGTATTTACATATTTTTTGGCAGTTTGTATTTTAACCTATAATTGCATGCACTTATTTATTTAACCCATGTACCATGTTGATACAGCAGTTTTCTGCTGATTTTTCATGTCTAATTACACTGAGTGTTATTGCCTTTCTTTGAATTTGATGATTCTGAAAAATCCTGTAATGTCTTCTCTTCAAAGCTAGGAAGAAAAACGTTGTACTATTAGTTTTCATTAAACCTGACAGGAGGCACAAAACAAATTGAAAATTTCAATACTCTAAAATTTGTGGGCAAATTTGAGACAACGCATGCCTACATGAATAAAAAAAATATATTGAATAACAGAGTTTACACTTAAAAATTGTGAAATTTTGTATGGAGGTTTCCAAAACCATGTTGTATGGGGATTTTTCCAATTTTTGAATCATGTTGTATGAGGCATACCTGTATATGTGTGTGGGAGAGCACAATATTGTTCACCCACTTTCAAGCTTAATATCTCCTGTGCATTCTGTTGAAAATCTCTAAAATTTTGCAAAAAGGTTTATGTATTAAGGGTGTTGATACTATTAAATTTTTGTGTTCAAAGGTCAAGGGAGTAGGGAGATAAAGGGGTCACATATCATATCTTGAATGGGGTCAGACTTAATACAGATTATACTCATTTATTAGTGTTTACAGTTTTTTTTTTTTTTTATAAAACTCATTATCATTATAAAATGGCAAGAAGCTTAATTTTTACAGTAGAGATTACTGTAAAAATTAAGCTTCTTGCCATTTTATAATGATAATATAATAAGTTGTTTAAATAAAATCTGATAATAGATGGCATTATACACAATTTTAACTTTTTTGCTGGGAAAATTACAGAACTTGCTGCTGGACTTTTTTATGGTTTGACAAATGTGTTTTTTCTGGTGTATTGAAATTGAAGGTGTTTTACTATTTTATAATATTGAATTTATATATTTATGAAATATTTCATTATTTAATAAAAAAATATATAAATATTTAGACAAATAAATTTCTCTAATGAAATAAATTAAGAAATTAATTTTATTTATAAAATATTTGTAAATTTATTAATAATATACATATATTTTTTTTAAACAGTGATGTTTTCAGATGAATGTCAAGAAATTGAAAATCACCTTAAATCTCTGTTATTGATGGGCTCAAAAACTACTGATTCAAGTTTAACGAGAGAAACAACTGTATATGAAAACAGTTGTTATCCACACGAAAACCAAAGATTGGTTTTCAGAGCAGAAAGGAGGAATAACACTATATTTAAAAATGATCATACACAAAATTTACAAAGAACTTCTGAAAATAAGAAACAAAGAAGAAAATTTCAAAGTGACTTTGTAGATCCTCGCGATAGACGATCCACTGCAGAAACTAGAAGATTGTTCTCTGGAGGACAGAATGCATTTACTGGGGAACAAAAGCGCGAACATTTTAATTCAAATTACAACAATAAACGGCGTCAAAGAAACCATAAAAAACAAAGTGATGTAAAAAGTGAACACAACCAATGTAATTCGTTCTATTCGACAGAATTTCTGTCCAGGGTTTCGGACAAAGATGTTCATGCCTCAGCTGAGAATGATGCTGATTTTGAACCAGAACTATTTTATCCAAAATATAGTCCGAAAAGCAAAGCTAAAGAAAGTAATAAGAAATCTAGAAATTATTTTAAAAGTGATAATGTTCCGAGAACATTTGTTCCACAGAAATCTCAAGCTGCAAGTTTTAAAGATAATAGTGATCAAGGTGTTCGAACTGATTCTGTAAATCTTGTTAAGGAAAGGCGAACTCAAGCCAATATATTTAGAAATGCTTTAGTGAAAACACGTTGTAATGAAACAAGTAAGTATTTTAAAACTAATAGTTTCATAATTATGCAGTTTGTAAATTAATGCATTATTCAAAGTAACTATTTAAAAACAATGGAGTCAGATTAATTATTCAATTCTTACTTAATTGTATTGTAGAAAAATACACAAAAAATTGTTTTTTTTTTTTTCCTTTCTGACTTACAGAGGGTAAGAGTGTAACTTTAAAATTCTAAAACATTACATCAATAATGAAATAAAAATTAAAGTTAAAAAAAAGGTAGAAGCAAACCTACTTTGCAGAGAAAAACACTTTTATTACATTGGTAAATCCCCTAAATGCTAGTTAAAGAGCATTTTGTCATAATTATGCAAAATAATATGGCAATCAAAACTTCTTCCAAAACTTCAGACTATGAGGCGTTAAATATGATTAAAAATAATTTATTCTTGCGAGCGCTTTCGACGTAAATAGGCACGTCGTCTTCAGGCTATACAAATCGAACAGAGAATTCGAACCATACATTTAAATTTAAATATTAACGATATTAGCCGTTTTTTGAANTGGGGTTGGATGTCACGCCAACAGTTATCTCAATCAAATTTACTTGTTCTTAATAGCCTCCCTAATTGGCTCTTATGTTATGCATGTTAAGGTGCACGCGCGCCAGTTTTTTGCGTTTACAAAATAATTAATAGCCATTCCAATCGAAGTTTATTTGTTTTAAAACGCATGCGTACCAATTTTAAATATTTTAAAATATTTTTAATTCTAAAATTTAAATTTTATTTATAATAGTTATATTTAAAAAACGGCTAATATCGTTAATATTTAAATTTAAATGTATGGTTCGAATTCTCTGTTCGATTTGTATAGCCTGAAGACGACGTGCGTATTTACGTCGAAAGCGCTCGCAAGAATAAATTATTTTTAATCATATTTAACGCCTCATAGTCTGAAGTTTTGGAAGAAGTTTTGATTGAGATAACTGTTGGCGTGACATCCAACCCCAGTACTTAAAATAATATGGTTAATTTAAATACGGATGTGCTGACAGCTGCATACTGGAAGACTTTTTTCAGATATAAAGGTGGAAATTTGGTTAATCGTGATGGAAAATTGTCGGAGTTCAAACTGTATGTTAAAAACCCTACTGAAGAGGCCAAATATTGTTGGCAAAATGCATTTAGGGGATTTACCAATGTAATAAAAGTGTTTTCTCTGCAAAGTTGGTTTGCTTTTACCTGTTTTTAACTTTAATTTTTTTTTCATTATTGATGTAATGTTTTAAAATTTTGAAGTTATATACCCTCCGTAAGTCAGAAAGGAATGAAAAACTGATTTTTCATTTATTTTCTATAATGCATTATTATTTGAAATTTACTGTTTATGTTGATTAATCATAAGTAGAGACCATCTTTATAGATTGATATTTGTTTAATAATATAAGATCTTCAAAAATAATGTAGCTATTTTAAATTACTATAACTAAATTAATTATTACCTGAGAAGTATATGATGTATACCAATTGATAGAGTAAGCTTCTGAGTTTCATTTCCCATCTGCATTCAAACAGCTTTTCATCTACTACCTCTAGTAAGCACCATTACCATTACCGTATTGAAAATTTTACTAATTAATAAACATTGAATAAGTCATACTTCTGACATTTGTATTGTTTGCTGTTGTTTACCTTTGATATGTGGCATGTTAATTAATCAAACTATAATATTTATTTCCATATAAACAATAGCAAACTGTTACATTTCAAACATTTTTTCCATGCATTTATCAAACATTATGTTTTTTTATTTATTTTAATTTTGCAAATGCAATCAATATATATTCCAATTCTGATCTGTTTTCTATCAATTTAAACAGCTTGTGATGATTTCTGTTGATTATCTAATGCAAACATTTTTCATTTTTTGTTTTCCTTACTCTGTTCTGATTCAAAACTTTTCTTGATAGTAATATAGTTTTCATTTTAATGCTGTTATTACTTTTTGCTCAGGTAGTGTCATCTGCTATTATATTACGAGGGCTGTTCGGAAAGTTCGCGGCCTCACATAGAAAAACAAACAAAATAATGTTAAAACTTTTTTTATTTTTCAATGTAATCTTCTCTGTTAGCAATGCACTTATTCCAGCGATGTTCTAGCTTTTTTATGCCATCACAATAGGTCGATTTGTCAAGGTGTGCAAAATATTCGTTCACTTCAGAGATGACTTCGTCATTTGAGTGGAATCTCTTTCCAGCCAAGAATTTTTTTAGGTTTGGAAAAAGGTGGAAGTCACTGGGGGCCAAATCAGGTGAGTACGGTGAATGTGGAACTAATTGGAAGCGAAGTTCGTTTATCTTTTGTTCAGTGATTCTGGCGGAATGTGCAGGTGCATTATCGTGGTGGAACAGAACTTTTTTCTTCTTCAAGTGTGGCCTCTTTTCTTCGATTTCTTTCTTCAGTTTTTCCAAAAGTTCACAGTAATAGACAGCATTAATGGTAGGCAATAAAGATGATGCCTTTAGCATCCCAAAAAACCGAGGCCATCACTTTACCCGCTGATGGAACTGTCTTTGCCTTCTTTGGTGGTGGCGAACTGTGGTGTTTCCATTGCTTCGACTGTTCTTTTGTTTCAGGAGTGTAGTAATGGATCCACGTTTCGTCAGTAGTCACAAACCGAACCAAGAAATCCTGTGGGTTTTTCTGGTAGAAGTCCAAACACTCCTTTGACATCAAAGTGCGAACACGTTTTTGCTCGGCGGTCAGCAGATGCGGCACCCACCTTGCCGAGACCTTCGTCATACCCAAATCTTCGGTTAGGATGTGGTGCACTCGGTCGACAGAGATGCCTGTTGTCTCAGCTATCTCACGCGTTTTCAAACGGCGATCTGCTAATACCAAATCGTGAACTTTGTCGATGTTTTCTTCAGTGACAGCAGTTGACGACCGTCCGCTGCGAGGGTCATCTTCCACACTTTCTCTGCCAGATTTAAAAAGGGCTGTCCATTTTTTTCACAGTGGTGTACGAAGGAGCAGACTCTCCTAAAACTTCATCCATGTCAGCTTTGATTTGAGATGGGGTCAACCCTTTTTTCGTCAGGTATTTTATGACCGCACGAGTCTCCGTCTTCTCCATTTTTGACAAAGCATGTGCACACTGACTATCTGCTAAGCTGTCGTGGCAAAACTTTTTGACAAATCAAGCGGAAATTGGTATCGTATCTTTAGCAAAGATGGCTGAATTATTTCCGCCAAAAATTAAATTGATCGCAGCGCCGCATATAGGCAAGGCCGCGAACTTTTCGAACAGCCCTCGTATAAATAGTTTTATCAACAAGAAATGTTAATATATAAATTAGTGTGGTGCTTAAAATAGGGGAAAAATAAATTGCTTACTTTTTTGTGGTTCTACCCTCTAGAACTATTCCAACTGGTCTCAAATTACTACAGAAGAAATTTCAACTTGATATATTAATATTTAGAGATAGCTCAATGACCACAAAATTTATAAAAAGAGCAATTTATGACAAATGATAACATACAAGACCTGTTTTGATAAACCAGACTTGTTTCACTTTTTAAATGACACAATTCACAAAATTTGAAATTTTCAGTACAATGTTCAATGCAATTTTATCAGTTTATTTTGGTAGAAGCAGAGAGTTTCTCTTTCTTGCTGTCTGAATAAGCCTGACAGTGCTTTTGAACAATTTGCAGCAAATACTGAAGTTGTAATTCATCATGAGTCATTAGGCCACTGAATTCTTGGATGAGTGCGACCATGCGTTCTACATGGTTGTTAACAAATTTCATGGCATGTACTGGCTCTGCAGCCCACTCTATCTTTCCACAGGTCAGGATCTACATTGAGAAATGTATCTGGAAGTTCCATTAATTCAAATAGAGTCCATGACTTAACAAATATATGGTCCCCAAGATTTTTTCCCACGAATGTGTCCAGGTCAACACTGATTTGCTTAGTGTGACACTGTTCAGTGTTGTCATCATTTTGCATTGCTGTAATTATTAGCCTCTTGTAGCAGAACTTACACGATTGTCGAAAAAGGCTAAAGATTCAAATCTGGTAACAAATACCATAAGTGTTTAGAAAATTTGAGAGATGCTACCTTGGATATTGTAGTATTGATTGCTGAGTATTCAAGAAGTGATTTCAGAAGATGAAGGTCATTGTTAGGAGCACTGACTGCCAATGGAGCTGAAATCCAGGCTTTCAAACACTCATGTGCAGCAAAGACACACACATCCTGTAGCCCCTTCTCTTCTTTTTTGTTAAATGGAATTAGCCCCACATCCATATTTTCAAACTGTAAATTACCTTTGAGAGTATGAGTCACTGAGTCAGCCTCAACTAGAAACAGGGAAAAACATTTGCAGCAAGACTTGATGGTATCAGCAAAATAATGATCACGAGTCATGACAGAAATTAAATTAAAATGTCATGTAACTAATGTGTGATTAATTTAATGGTTTATTTATCGAGATGACGAACTACAGTTTTACGAACTGTTGTACTAAAATGGATACATTGTGGTTCAAGCTTGTGATTGCCATATGCTCATCTTTACTATTTGTAACCTATAAAAATTCAGTGACATTGAGCTACCAGTAAATATTCACCAATGGAGTAGATTTTTGACACAAATTTTTTCTATATATATTTGAACAGAAATAGAGGTAGGATGTAGGGTAGGACATTCACATTTTCAAATTGTGAAAATAAGTTCCACACTAATATAAATGTATAAATGTTCTGTACAGGTATTTCTTAAAGTATATATGCAATCATTACTTCTTAAGATACGTTTTTACTCATCTTTGATTGTCTGAACTCAAGATGCATCTTGAAATGACAATGTCTTACAATCATAATCCAGAACAACAATCAGAAGCCATCAAGAGCAGATCACACAATGCATTACACACAAATAATAGTCATTTTTGCTACATTGCTCGACAGTAGCTCCTTATCCCTGCTCATTACCAGAAAACCACATTTAAATTTTCTGGTAATGAGCAGGGATAAGGAGTCAGCAGAAAAATACATGACTCCCAACTCCTGACTCCTATAAAAAGGTTTGATTT